TCAATTAGACAAGAACGACTGTATCAAAATTGTGACCCTCAAAAACAGTGCATCTATTCATCTCTGTCTTCTACATTGTGTTCTCTCCTGTGGAAGTGGAAGACCATAGATCTTGGTTATGGGAATTCAAATCACATAGAAAAGCATTTGATTTCCTGTTATGCTAATCAGTAGCTGAGTGTGTTGGGGCAAAGGTAGAATACGTTCATGCCATCTTAGGAATCATTTCTCATACATATTGTGTCTCCCTCCTTGGCATATTTTCCTTTATATTTTCTATTTTCAGCCTAGATAGTATGTCGATCTGGACAAATCTGGGATTTTTCGTGTCTTATTTCCCTGCCTTAATTAGTGGCCAATCTAGAGGCAGGTACCTTCTTTAAGAGACCACAATTCTTATATTTTCAGGAGATATCACAGAAACAATGGATCATCCTTATTTTTAGTAGAAAACACTTCCTTTTCTCCCCCAGCTGTATTGAGACATGATTGACAAATAAAAATTACATATATTTAAGGTGTATTACTTGATGTTTTGATGTACATATGGATGTGCATTTTGAAATAATCACCACAATCAAGGTAATCAACACATCCATCACCTCACACAGTTACTATTATTTTCATGTGTGGTGAGGACACCTAAGATCTACCCAAGTAGGAAACAGTCCACCAAACAGTCCAGCATTGCTAGCTAAGTTACACTGTGGTACATTAGATCTCCAAAATGGATTCACCTTGCATGATTGAACCTCTGTACCCTTTGACCAGGATCTCCCCAGTTATCCCTCCCAGCCCCTGGCAACCACCATTCTATTTTCTGCTTCTATGAAATTGACTATTGTAGACGCCACATAGAAGAAAGATCATGCAGTATTTGTCTTTCTGTGATTGGTTATTTCACATAGTACAATGTCTTTCAGAACTTTCCATATTGATTATATATGTTGCAAATATTTTATCCCATGCTGCGTTATGTCTTGCCCTTTTGTTCTCTTCATGTTGTCTCTTGGTAAGTTCTTACCTTACTTGTAATGGCCCAATACATCAAACTTTTCCTTACTTTGGTGCATTTAGTCTTACTCAACAAATCTGTAAGTAGTCCCATATTATGACATTATCCTGTATTATTTTCTAAAAGCTTTATTGTTTACCTTTAATATTTACATCCAAAATACAGCTTTAATTGATTTTATATGCTTTCATTTTTTTTCCCAGGTGGATATCCTATTGTTTCCTGTGTGTGAGCTCCCTTGTTTCTTTACACATCTTATTTTTTTTGAGTTGAAAATTCCACATTTAAAATCATATAACATGTAATTCTGGAAATCAGATTCTTCTCTGGGCTTTTTTGCTGTTGCTGTTTACATAAGATAAGGTAAATGTTAGATGGGAAAAAGGGAGTGAAAAAAGCATCAATTATGTAGATGTCTCTGAGTAGGTGGAAGAATATCTGATCCTATCTTGTTTCTGTTCTGCATCTGTAAAGAAAGATTTGTAACTTATTATAAGTGTGGATTCAAACAGACTTTAGTTTTAGGAGCTACAGTAGCCTACACATCCAATTCATATGTCCTTACTTATGGGAGGCCAGCAACGAATTTTCTGTGGGCCAGTCCTGCACAGATGCCTGAGGCCTTTACTTTCCCTTTTGCATATGGAGTTGGAGGAATGGTCCTGAGATATTTATTTTATTTTATAGTTTTGATGTATTAATCCTTGTATATATCTGAGGATTCTTTGTGTTAAAATCTTGCTTAGGAATTTTGCATCTCTGTATTTTGCATGACTATGTTTTCCTTTGACATTGCTTTCTTGACATATCCATGACAGGTTTTGGTATCAAATTTACACCAGATCCATAAAACAATTTAGACAATTATTCCCTTTTTTTGTAGTCTCTAGAAACATTTAAGATTGTATTATTTCTTCCTTGAATAGTTTGTGTTTGGTAAAATATTCTGGTGGAAACCATTAGTGTTTGTGGATGTGTGCTGGGGGTGGGTAAAGGAGAGGAATAGCATTTATTATTATTTATTAAATTTCTTGAGTGTACATAAAAATGTTTAGAGTATCTACTTCTCATGTCAGTTTCAATACTTTTTTCCTATGAAATTACCTATTTTACGTAAATTTAAATTTTTGGCATAAAATTCTCATATCATTTTATTACACTTTCAATATTTTAGAATCTATAGTTATGCCTTATTATCATTTGTGTCAGTTACAGATACTACTCTCTTTGTTTTAATTTTTAAATTTTTTGTTTCTTGAATAGTATTCCCATAGTTAACTAATTTTGTTATTTTTTTTTTCATAGAACCAACTCTGCACAACAGAAGCACAGAAATGTGAGAACCCATGGAGCGTTATCTCCCAACGGAAGAAACTCTACATACCCAATAATAATAATCATTCACCTAAGGTTGTGGATCCTTGATACAATATCCTGCCAGGTGGTCATCCAGCTACCTTGAGTGTCTGAATTCATAACCTCAGAGTAGCCTATTCTATTTAGGTATATTAAAGATTATTTTCTTATGTTAAATTTTATCTACTCTAAGCCTCCCATGTTTTTTTCCTCGTGGGGCTCACTTATGATTATATGGTCAGAATGGCATTTTTGGTAGGTTCCCCGCCTCATTAGCCATTTGTTTCCCAGTGCCCACTCACGGGAAATCACACTCGTCACCCTCTAAACTCAGGCACCCGCCTCCCCACCGTGTGGGGTATTCTCTTCTGCCGCACACACAACAGGCCCCTGCCTGGCTGTCACTGTCAACTTTCTCCAAGTTCTTCTTCACTGGCCTTGCCAACCACCTTGTCTCTCTTGTTATAATCAAGTTCAGAGTAGTTTCCTGAAGTGTCAGACCTTGCTGGGTGCTGTTTGAACAGATTGAAATCCCATGAACTAGCCAGTGTTGTCATTTCCATCCCCTCTCCTTTGTATTTGTATCATTTCGTCAGCTGCTTCGAGGTCACAGTACCCATTTTCTCCAGTAACCTCCGTTAGTCACAGCCCATCTAGACCCCTCTGCTTTGATTTCCATCCATGTGCTGTCCATTGTAGAGGTGACAGACATTAGTGTCTGTCTCTGGGACTTGGGAATCAGAATCCGGTTGCTGACTATTCACCTCCACGTTCTGCCTGGCACAGGTAGGCAAATTGGGTGAATTATTTAACATACCAAGCCCTTCTAGTTGGTTGCTTTTTAAATAAATATTCAGCTTCCCTCTTTATTTTATACTGGCTGTTTTGCATGGTAACTGGATCACTGGGGTTAATCTGGAAGATTTTTCTGTATTTTTTTCCTCTCTCCAGCATCATTCTATGAGCACAAATATGGTTTGTCTTCTTCACTCCCAAGAGACTGTCGTTTCTTTTTATACTCTTCTTTGGGGCCTTGGAATCTTGGGATCTAGGGCCTCTCTGCTCCCTGCACACACACAGCGAGTGCCACACAGTAGGTGAACAATACCTAGTTACTGAAGGGAAACGGCCTTTTGGATCCACAGATTGCAAACCTCTCAGTTCCTACGGCCCCCATCTCCAAACCTCATAAAATGAGATAAATGTGAAAACACCAAGTCACTCGTTTTTATGTGCAAGACTTTCTTGAACACAGAGTAGCCACCTCGATCTCTTCTGGTGCATCATAAATAAGGCGGTTTGGTAGAAACAGACTGGATTTTAGAAGCCAATCAAGCTTCTCACAAGCTGTGCAGCTGTGCGGGTTGGTGCATGTCACACCACCTGCTTGAGCTCCATGTACTCTGCTTTCAAATGGGTGCAGTGAGATTTCCTTTGCAGGCTTGTGTGAGAACGAGACACTGCATGGAAAACATGGATCTCAGCATCTACTAGGTGCTCAGGAAATATTAATAAATAACTTCAAGGGCTCCTGTGCTATGAAACGGGAGGCATGCTAGTGGTTAGCAAGTTGTATTGCTTGGCAGGCTCTTCAGAGGCCAGGAGGTTTCCATGTCTGCTCACCTCTGTTAGCTTGGCCGAGGGGACACCCTGGTCCTGAAACTCTGTTTCCTCTTAGAGGCAGCAACATCCCAGAAAAGCCCAAATGCTTGTGTATGCTCTTTGGTGTTCAGTTCTTCAAAAGACCCATGTCCTCCTCCTCTACTGTCATCCTCATACCTATCGTGGATTCTGCATTTTTTTGTTCCTCACACTCCTCTACTTGTGCACAGAAAAGTGCCCGAGTGTGTAAGTGTGAAGATAGTCCCTGCTAGAGAAGCCAAGAGCTGTCTCTGCAGTGCTCAGTTATTTTCACTTGCATAAGATGTAAATCAAAGTACCCATGAGATATAACAGGAGTGCTCAGGCACTGGGATAATTCATGTTAAGCAAGTAACTTTTCCCATCTAGAGACTGTCAAAGATACCCTTGACTCTGACCACCTCGTGAGGTTTCTGTGAGGCTATGAAGAAATGATGGAAGTGAAATGCAGTTTGAATGTCAGGAAATGCTATAGAAATAAAAACAAATACAAGAAATGTGCAAAGAAATACAGATTTATTAGGAAATAAACAGGGGGGACTCCCTATAACTAGGAAGACAATATAAAGTGGGCATAAAAGGGAAAAGAATAGGTCACAAGAATAAGGAATACATTGAGAAAATACCATTTATCATTGGGAAGAGTTAAGAAAAAAGACATAGGTTTTTGTTTGTTTGCTGATTTTTTGGGGTTACTTAGAATGAAAGGATGAGGATGACTCTTCCACATCTGAGAACATGATTCTAGATCAAGAACAGATAAAGTAGACCAGGAGCTGGAGCTCTCCCTGAAGAGATAAAGAGGGAAAGGTGGATAAAGTAGGCTGCACTCCATCAAGCAGACACTCTTGTTATAAACACCCTTTATAACAAGACAACCCACGGGTAGTTTGATGTTGGCAAAGCCTGGAGAGTGATTTTGTTGCAGGATCTGGGTTGGCTGATACAAAGTTGGAATGTGACTGGTGGTGTGTCTTTGGCAAGAGGATCAGCAGCAGGAAGGCTGGCAGCAGCCGGATCCACAGCTCTGGGTTAGGCAACCAGGCAGGCAGACAGAGGTGGGGTGGTAGCAGGTTCTGGTGCAGTACACGGGTGCACAGCTGCTGGGCTGGCAGGGGTGTGCTGCAGCAAGTGGGGCGGCAGCAAGGCTGGCAGCAGCTGGACTCACAGCAGCTGGGCTGGCAGCAGGGTGTGGTGCAGCAGGTGGTCACAGAGGTAGGTTTCCAGCAGGTGGTCCTGCAGCAAGTGGGCTGGCAGCAAGGCTGGCAGCAGCTGGACTCACAGCAGCTGGGCTGGCAGCAGGGTGTGCTGCAGCAGGTGGTCACAGAGGTAGGCTTCCAGCAGGTGGTCCTGCAGCAGGTGGTTGGACAGCAAGCTGGGCGGCAGCAAGGCTGGCAGCAGCTGGACTCACAGCAGCTGGGCTGGCAGCAGGGTGTGCTGCAGCAGGTGGTCTCACAGGTAGGTTGCCAGCAAGTGGTCCTGCAGCAGGTGGTCCTGCAACAGCTGGTTGGACAGCAGGTTGGGTGGCAGCAAGGCTGGCAGCAGCTGGACTCACAGCAGCTGGGCTGGCAGCAGGTGGTCCTGCAGCAGGTGGTCCTGCAGCAGGTAGGCTGGCAGCAAGGGGAGCAGCAGTGGGTCATGGTGTTGGGGTGAAGGGTGGGCTCTTGTTCAGAGGTGAGTTTCCCAGAATCTGATGAGTCCTCCCAATCTGGACCTTTTATACCTGGTACCTGAAAGTTTGGACCAATGAGCAGAACTTGTCTTTGATATTGTTTATGTTTATTTCTCTCGGCCATTGGGAAATGTCTCAAGGAGGAAGTTGTGTTTTAAGTGTTATAAATTTTCTTTGGGTAGTTGATTTGTTTGCTCTTCTAATTGACAAATAAACAATCAGAGCTATTTTCCTGAAATGAGAAATAAGTCATCATTTTCCAAATCAATTAAGCACTAATCCTCATTTTTAAAGTTGAGTACAGTATTTGGTCATCTAACAGGTCCAGCTTAGCCTGGTGAGAGGTCAGGACAGTTGTCAGTCTTCTATTTTCCCTGGGTGCTATTTATTTTGCAAAGTACCTCTGAAGAAAAAGTGATGTTGAGTCATGTGATGAGTTAAAACGAAGTTTAGGGAGGCTTCTGATACCTTCTGTAACATAGAAGCTAGTATAAGATTGATCTTCCTGCTGTAAACAATGATGAATGATAGGTAAGTATATAAAACAACTGTTTGCAGATATTGAACCACAATCAACTTTGGGCTATAATATTAAAGGAAAGAAACATGGCGTGAGGCCCAATTTATCCCAGGTTTCTCCCCTTTTGTTCTTCCCAAACTGCAGTGCCAGAAGGAATAGAGTTCAAGCAGAGAGTAGAGAAGAGAGAGACAGGCACTGGATGGGTTTTATTACAGTTCATTTGCTCAGCTCGAAATGTGATTTTTGGTGACTAAATTTTCCTAAGTTTGATCTAGTTGAAATTATCAATCATTTCTTTTAAAATAATACTATTGTTGTCTTCCTCAGGAGATATTTGTCTACTTCATGATACAAAAATTATTAACATAAATTACCTAGGAAGGGTTTTAAGATTTTTTTGATCTTCAAGCTATTAATACACCTGCAATTGTTTTTTGGGTTTTTTTTTTGGTAAGTGATGGGTGATTGGAATTCAAGTTCATCTTTTCCATGTAGATACTTTTTTCGAGCTTTGATTAGGGAACATTTTCTGTTTTATTGCTAGATATGTCCCCATTTTCACCCAGAATATTATTTATTTGTGTCTTCTCTCTTTTTCTTGATCAATCTTGACAGTGGCTTATCATTTCTTAGTATTCTTTTTTAAAAAACAAATTTTGGCTTTGTTGGTCTTCTCCATTGTATCTTTTTAACTATTTTATTGCTTTACATTTTAATTTATGCTTTTTTGGCTAATTCCATTTCTTTTTCTTATTCACTAAGATGAAATTTAGTGCATTTATTTTGAGGTTTTCTTCTTGTTTAATGTAAGCATTTAAGGCTATAAAATTAGTTAAATCACCATTTTTACAGCACCCCACAAGTTTTAATATGTAATACTTTCATTATAATTCAGTTACACATTCTTTCCTTTACATTGTGAATTCTTAAGCTTTGTTCTTCCAAGTCAGTATATTTTCTGCAATGTATCTCATCTATTATGTACTTCAATGACTATATGTTCTATTGTTTGTTTTGTACCTAATGGTGTGCTTGGTTCCATCACCTCCCCCCATTATACACGCTTATTTTTATTAACTTTTCATTTTGAAATAAATTCAGACTTAGAGAAAGTTGCAAAAATGATATAAAGGCTCCCCATATGCTTTTGTTTGAATTCCTTAAATGTTAACACTTTACTATGTTTTTTTAACATTATATACATATAAAATATATATAATGTATGTCTGTGTGTATATATATACACACACAGAGATATGTGTGTGTGTGTGTGTGTATAAACTATTGTTGGTTTTTCCTGAACCATTTAAAGGTAAGTTGCAGGTGTTAATTTCCCTTTACTACTAAATACCCCTTTATCACTGAAAACTTCAGTGTGTATTTCTTTAATAGCCCAATGATCAAAACCAAGGTATTAACACTGATACAGGATATTATCTCTGCTTGGTTCTTATTAATGTTTTCTTGTATTTGTTTATATTGCTTCCCTTATCTCCTTATATGTATTTATTATGTTTAGTTAAAATCCAAGTGAAGACTTCCTAGAAGATGGATTGGACATAATTTTCTATATTCTTCCTGCTAAATACAACCAAGAACTCTGAACACTATGTATAAGGCAGACACGAGAGGACTCTGAAAGGTGGAGAGAAGAAGGCAGGCAGGTTAGGAACAATAAGGTGGAGTTCCCTAAGTTTTCTTTTTGCTGCATGTACCCCAGACTTAAGTGCCAGACTTGGAGCTTAAGAAGCCTGCGACTCTGAAACTCCAATGAATGCACACACAAGAAAGCCTCAGTAAAAGCTTTATGTTGTTACCTGAAGGATCAGAAAAGTGGTGGCATAGGAAGAAGAAAAATTTTTAGGTGATAACTGCTCTGCTCCAGAAAAAACTGGGGCTTCACAGCCAACCACACCAGCAAAAGCCAAGGGAGGAGCCTAGACTTCCATCCCTGAGCAGCTGTAATGAGCTGCCCTACACCCCCACTGGGATGGTGTTGGAGAAGGCCAAGTAGAGCCTTGAAACTTTCACCTCTGCCAGCCAGTAATAAGCCCCCATCCTGCACACAGTGGGAGCCAGAGCTCCCACCCCTGCTCTGCGGTAATGAGGAGCTTCCCCACATGGAAGTCAACACAGCCTGAACAAGGGAACTGGACTTCTACCTTCACGCGACAGTCATGAGGCAGCCCCCCACCCCTGCCCCATTCTCCTGCAGGAATAATTTTGGGGAAATCCATCCAAAACAGAAGATTTATATAAGATCCAGAGTCTTATAATACAAGCATGTCCTCGTACTAACAACAGCAACAAAAATGACTCAACGTACAAGGACCAGGAAAATCTGTAACTGGATGAAAAAAGACAATAAATGCCCATGCTGAGATGCTAGAGATGTTAGAATTACCTGGTAAAGATTTTGAAGCAGTCATGATAATAATAATTCAATGAGCAATTATAAATACACTTAAACAAATGAAAATATAGAAAGTATCAGCAAAAATATAGAAGCTATAACAAAGAACTAAATGTAAATTTTGGAACTGAAAAATACAATAACCAAAATAAAAAGCTCACTGGATGGTTCAACAGCAGAATTGAAGTGACAATGAAAGTATCAGTGAATTGGAAGATTGAACAATAGAAATTACCCATCGTGAACAACAGTGAAAATAGACTGAAAAAAAAAAAACAGGCTGGGCGTGGTGGCTGACACCTGTAATCCTAGCACTCTGGGAGGCTGAGGCAGGAGGATCGCTCAAGGTCAGGAGTTCAAGACCAGCCTGAGCAAGAGCAAGACCCTGTCTCTACTAAAAAAAATAGAAAGAAATTAGCTGGACAACTAAAAATATATAGAAAAAATTAGCCAGACATGGTGGTACATGCCTGTATCCCAGCTACTCAGGAGGCTGAGGCAGGAGGATAGCTTAAGCCCAGGAGTTTGAGGTTGCTGTGAGCTAGGCTGATGCTACGGCACTGTAGCCCAGGCAACAACAACAAAAAAATAAAAATAAAAATAACAAAGCTGAAGGGACTCGTGGACTAAAACAAAATATTTCAAATTCCTATTAACAGAGTCCTAGAGAGAGAATAAAGAGGGCAGGGCTGAAAAAGTAGGAAAAAATTATAGCTGAAAATCTCCCCAATTTGGCAAGAGAAATAAAGCTACAAATTTAAGAAAGTGAGTGAATCCCAATCAGGATAAACTCAAAGAAATCTGTGCCAAGAAATTTGTGCCAAGACACACAGTAGCTAAACTTCTGAAAACTAAAGACAGAGAAAAAATTATGAGTAATTATGAGTGCAGCCAGAGAAAAAAATACCTTACCCATAGGGGAAAACAATAAAGATTATGGTGAATTTCTCATTATAAACCATGGAGGCAAGAAGAAAGTGTGTGTGTGTGTGTATATATGTATGTATATAAACACATGCACATACATATATATATTTATTATTTATATATAAATATACATAGTATATATATTATATATAGTATACATGTAATGTCAGTATGTATGTATATATGTGTGTGTGTGTGTGTGTGTGTGTGTGTGTATAGTATCAGGGGAGAGCATGAGCACAGCCCCCCACTATGAAAGATTATGCAGTTGAGTGTCCCACAATTGGGGAAATCACGGGGGTCAGAACATCTGGAGTGCAATGGATAAGCCTGGCCCTGGCAAAACCACCTTCATGATCATGGTATCTCCCCTGCCAGGTAAGTATGCACAATATTTTTTAAGTGCTGAAAGAAAAGACTGTCAGCCCAGAATCCTTTACCCAGTGAAAATATACTTCATGAATGAAGGGTGTGGCAAAATCGATGCTCCAAGTGTGAAAAACGACTGCAAACTGGGATTCACTTCTGCTTACTGGACCCAACAGTCACTGGGTCTGTTGATGAAGGACTGTTGCTGGGAGAAAGTAGCAGCAAAAGGCAGCAAATGAGAAGCGCCCCAGTCGTCTTCTAGCTCCCGTCCAATGACAGAGCCTAACATCGAGCCGTGGACTAAGAGAGATGTGGTTTGCAGAGTTCCAGCCTCAGCACCGCAGAGCAAGCGTAGAGGGTGGGTTTGGACCTGTGACACACAGCTGAAGAGCTAGCACAGTCTGCACGTGATTTGCCTTTCATATAATTTCTTAGGTGAAGCTTCTGATCAATTCTTTTGTCCATTAAGAAAATTGGGTTATTTGTCTTCTTATTATTGAGCTGCAAGGGTTCTTTATATATTCTATATACAGTATCTTTATCAGATAATGTGTTTTGCAAATATTTTCTCCCAGTGTGGGCCTTTTCTTTTAATTTTTTAAAACACTGTCTTTCAAGAACCAAAAGTTTAAAACTTTGATATGTTCACTTTATCATTTTTTTCATTTTATTATTCATGGCTTTTGTATTTGTCTAAGAAACACTTGCCTAGCCTAAGGTCAAAAAGCTTTTTCCTATATTTCCTTCTAGAAATTTTGTAGCTTTAGGTTTTACATTTAGATCTATGATCCATTTTGAGTTGATTTTTGTATACGATGTGAAGTAAGAGTTGAAATCCATTTTTTTTTTTTGCACATGGGTGTTTAATTGTTCCAGCACCATTTGTTCCAAAGACCACACTTTCTCTGCATATTAATTTGACACCTTTTTAAAAAATCAATGGATAATATATGTGTGAATCCATTTCTAGACTCTCATTTTGTTCCATTGGTCTGCATCTCTATCATTTCCCCAGTACTCCCCCAAACAGCTTTGTTTTTGAAGCCAGAAAAATGTCGTACTATTCATGCAAATTACTTTATCTCCCTCAAAACTGATTTCCTCAGCTCTAATATGGGGGCAATAATATCCACCTTTCAGGATTGTATGAGAATGAGAGATAGTGTAGAGGAAGCAATGAGCTCAATAGCTAGTATATAACAGGCTCAGTAAATGTTAGCAATTCACCCATACGTTTTCCCTTTTGGAAAGTTCAGTAACCTGGCAGGGAGCAATGGATATTTATATTTATATATTTATATTTACATTTAAATGCCATCTTATGCCCCCAAAATTGTTTCTATTATTTTCATATATAACCCAGAATATTTACAAAATATATTAATAAAAGTATGTTCTAAACATGTTCTTATAGCCTTCTGTCCATCCCTTCTTCCCTCTTTCTTGAATAATTTAGCCTAAATAGAAAGTGAGTGTGTATGTGGGATAGGGGTGGTCTAAAGAAATAGCATATTCATTTCTTTTTTAAATTGAAATAACCTTAAACTTATAGGAAGAATTCAAGAATAGTTCAAAGAATTCTTTTTCTTTATGACAAAATGATGTTTCTTCACCTCTAAACATCAGTGTGTGTTTCCTACATCAAGGGCATTCATTCTCCTCCATAACCACAGTGGAATTTAAAACCAGGCTTTTACTCTTGCAAACAATGCTGCAAAGAACACCCTGGAACTTACACCTTGCAGCACGCATATATGTGTATCTGTTGAGTATGTTTCTAGAAGTGAAATTGCTCAATTGAAAGGCATGCACATTTCCACAGCTGACAAATTAATTTGATATTAGTAAATTTAATTTGATACTACTAATATTATCAAATTTAAGATACTGTTAAATTACCAACTAAAGAAGTTACTTAAATGTAAAACTCTGTCATCTGTATATGAAAATGTTTTCTTATAACTTCACTAATTTATTAAAGTCTTTAAACTTAAATATTTTATATTTGTCATTATAAATAGCAACTATTCATTGCTTTATCTCCAGAGCATATAGCAGAACTTGGCACACATTAGGTGTTCAGTAGATGGTTTGATGAATGAATAAATTGTTCAATTAAAACGTTTTAAATTATGAGTGAGACTGAACACTTTTCAAAAAGTTCAAAAAGCATGTAATTTTTTTTTGAATGAAATGACCATTATTATCTTTTACTCAATTTTCTATTTGGTTATTAGCCTTTTTTTCTTATTAGGTTGTAAGAAGTATTCATGCATTAAGGAAATTACTTTTTATTAGATTGGTTAATATATTTATTACATATTCCCAGATTCCCCTTCAACCTTTTGGTTTTAAGTTGTTTTTTTTTTAAATCAAGCATTTAAATTTTTCTGTTGTAAATTTTTTCAATCTTTTTCTTTATTGCTATTAAGTTTTCTGTCTTAGAAAAGCCATTCCACCTCAAATATTTTAAGAAAATTTCTTCCAAGTTTTCTTCTAGTATTTTCACAGTTTATTTTTTCCTAAAGAGTCTTTAGAAAACAAGAAACACCGTCCCACTTGACGACTGGCATGAGACGAGACACAAAGCTTTCAGGATGACACATAGAATGTTGAGTTTCAAATGATCAATCACATGACAATCAATTGCATGAGTAATTTTAAGAGTCTTTGAAATTGATGATACACAGAAATAAGACAAGAGGAGACTCAGGAAGAAAGACTGGATTGGATAAACCCTAACAAAAAGAAAGAAAAAAATGCATTCTATCTTTTACACAGATTGTCCCACAATTAACTAATTTGATAATTGTTCATCAATTAAGATAAACAATAACAAGGAAATAGTCCTTAACATGGTGACAGCAGCCCCTCAGCTGGATATAAAAGTGGGCATGGGATAAGGGGACTCACACATTTGGGAAACTCACTCTCTTGGAAACTCACCCAGGACCTCCATCTTCTGACACCATGGTCAACTCTTGTTCTGGCTCTGTCTGCTCTGACGAGGGCTGTGGCCAAGGCCTCTGCCAGGAGACCTGCTGCCAACCCAGCTGCTGCCAGACCACCTGCTGTAGGACCACCTGCTGCCACCCCAGCTGCTCTGTGTCCACTTGCTGCCGCCCCACCTGCTGCCGCCCAGTCTGCTGTCAGACCACCTGTCGCCCAGTCTGCTGTCAGACCACCTGCTGTAGGACCACCTGCAGCCCCAGCTGTGGTGTGTCCAGCTGCTGCCGCCCAGTCTGCTGTCAGACCACCTGCCGCCCCAGCTGTGGTGTGTCCAGCTGCTGCCGTCCAGTCTGCTGTCAGACCACCTGCCGCCCCAGCTGTGGTGTGTCCAGCTCCAGTCTGCTGTCAGACCACCTGCCGCCCCAGCTGTGGTGTGTCCAGCTGCTGCCGTCCAGTCTGCTGTCAGACCACCTGCTGCGGTACAACTTGCTGTCGCCCCAGCTGCTGTGAAACCTCTTGTTGAGCCTCGTATCTGACTACCAACTATGATCTATCCACCATTACATCAATGTGAAAGTGTCATTCATATCAACTTATCCATGCATAAATAGCCACCAGCTTTATTATCCTGTTATCCCGCTAAGCAACTGGGAAAGGGTATCCGTCTACATTAAATACCACTCGTATCTCCCATGGATCTCTTCCCTGCATTCAGACCTCAAATACAGGATGCAGTTAGACTAAGCCCCTGAGTCTCTATTATGGTTGCCTTGACCTTCAAAATTACATGTTAACTGTTCTTCAATAAATATTACCATGATATCATAAATTCTTTATCTTTCTTCAGTTATTTTTGAGAGTTGAGTATCAGTTTATTTTTTAGCATAATTTTTCTCAAAATGAAGGGAAAGTTTGGATTTCTGTGGTTAGGAAAGAAAACTAATTTTTGCAAATATTATCTAATGCTTGTGTTATAGAAAGGACTTTTGAAATATATTTTTAAAAATAAGATAACTCACTTTATTTAACTAACAATAGCTTTCTTATTCAATCAATACAATGATTGATCACCTGGCATGTTCATTGCACTGTTGGGCTTTGGGGATGATATCAAGATATGTGAGGTGCAGGGGCTTCCTACAAGAAGCTCACAATCTAATCTTGGGGATAAGAGGAAGGACCAATCAACGTAGGTAGAATACATCAGGTAGGATTGATCAGAGGGCGGAGTTTTTATCTTAGAGAAAGGTAAGACAGAAGGAATAATTTTTATAATAGAACGATTTAAGTCAGTAAATTTAGGAAAAATGTGCAGGTCCCAAACCCATGAAATGAAGGGGAGGAGGAGGAGACAGGGAAGTGTTTACATTCTGGTGGTGACAAGAGTGAGATGAGCCGAGAAATCAGTTGCTGTTGACCAAACGTGGAAGACGCTAAACCTTGCTGGCTTCACCCCATGCCCTTCATGTTAATGATACTATACTAAAACAGCCATAAGCAAATGAGGAAGCTCTTAGTCACAGGTGGAATCACACATGGGCAAGGAAACACTCCCTTTGGGGAAGGTCTGGGGAGGAGTTGGGGAAGGGTTTGAATGGTAGGCAAGGGTGAGGTTGTACAGGGGAAGGACTCAGGCTGTGCTTGTAAGCTGCGTGCTGAGCCTGCACCCTTGGAGTATCCCTAGATACTGCACAGTCTTGGATATGTTCAGGAAAGCAAACCAAATGTCTCCTGCAGCCACTTGGCTTTACTTGTCCTGTCTGATGCCACTTAACACATGAAAAAAGCAACTTAAGCAAAATACACTGGTCAATAGAAATTGTCTTTATGTTTTCTTGGTCCTTCCTGTAGATATTTTAAGATGGAGAAATCCTACCCTGTATAGCAATAATAATAATTATCAGGAATCATAAGATATAGATAGGAGTGCCATTAGCAGTGAGGCTGGCATTTCAAGTTGAAGCACAGATGAGGTGGAAAACCACTGAGAATGACTGGGAGCCACACAGCTTGTGGGTAGGGCAGTAGGAAGTTAAGGCTAGAAAGACTGGCGGGCTTCTCATTTTGAGGGGCTTGATTGCCATGGTAATGCATTTATAGTTAAATACTAATTGCTGTCCATTGTTCGTGATGAGCAATTGTCAGCACATTGATGAGCACTTTGTCAAGAACTGTCATCCATTCCGGCTTCACTCAGCTCGTGCTGCAGTCTTTAGATTGGTCTTCTCGCCATGACAAGTGAATCTAAGATTCACGGTCTCACCCAACACAGCCTGGCACCAAGGCAGCCATCAGATCGCTTTACCTCTGTTCTTTAGGAGCTACCTTTCGTTTTGGAAGTACAGGTTTATCACGACTTCTCATGTCTTTGAGAGAATTTCCATTCCATAGCCAAACAATATCCATATGCCTAAGAGTCAAGGACTTTAGTTAGAAGCAAAATTTAGTTGAAAAATAAAATAAAAAGCAAAAAAGTAAACAACACTGTCAGCTATCGATAGAGCAATATGGAATTCACAGCATGAAGAAAATCATGCCCTTAAACTTAATATTGTTAGTCAGTTATTTAGGCTAGTAATTGCTGTCTCATAGTGATTCTCATTGCAGCACTTTTCTCTCATTAATACACATGTGAGTGCACACACCTGTGTAAAGTGGCAAGGACTGAGAAATCTGTCGAAGCAAACCAAGTATGTTGTGATTTTGTTTCTTTAGCACTAATAGTTTTAGAGTATATAAAAAAGTCCCCATTTGTTTTGTTTAATTTTATCTTTGTTCTATTACTCCTTATGCTTATTGAATCAATCAAAATACAGAGCATTTCATCACCACCAATATCTCTCGTGTTGTCTTTTTATAACCACACACTTTTAGTGTCAAGAATAAGAACTCTTTGCCTAGCCCTAGATCCCAAAGATGTTCTCCGATGTGTTTTGTTCTAAAAGTTTTTATAAAACTATAATTTTACATTTTACATTTAAGTCCATGGTGCATTTTGAGTTAATTTTTTTTTTAATAAGGTGAGTGAGACTTAGGTAGAACTTCTATTTTTTTCTTTTTTTTGGTTTTTGGTCTGTGAATGTCCAATTGCTCCAGTGCCATTTGTTGAAAGGATTGTATTCCGTTATTGAATTTCTTTTTCACATTTGTCAAAAAATCAGTCGGGCATATTTGTATAGATCTCAATCATTGTTGTCTCTTAATTGGTGATTTTATCCCTATCATATTTATTCTAACTACCCTCAAGTTTTAAAACTACTATATTGAGATGTAATTCACATACCATTCAATTCACCATTTAAAGTATACAATTCTTTTTGTTTTTATATGCACAGTTGTACAACCATCACCTACAATTTAAGGTTACAACATTTTCGTCTTCCCTAACAGAAACTTCATAGTCATTAGCAGTCACTCTCAGCCCCTCCTATCTCCACCCCAGTTGTAGGTAACCACTAATCTACTTTCTGTCTCTATAAATTTACTTTCTGGACATTCCACATAAATGAGTCCATAATCATACAATATGCTTTTTTTGTGTCCAACTTCTTTCATTTGAATATTATTCTCAAGGTTCATCCACACTGTTGCATGTAGTGGTACTTCATTCCTTTTTATTGATGAATAATATGTAAATTCCATTATATGATTATAATAAATTTTATATATCCATTCATCAATTGATGAGCATTTGGATTGTTTTGACTTTTTGGCTATTATAATAACGCTGCTATGAACATCTGCTACAACTTTATATTTTAATTTCTTTTGGGTTATTTCTTTTGTTATTGAGTTGTAAGAGCTCTTTATATATTCTGCACATATGTCCCTTATCCTTATTTCTTCTCTATTTTTTTCTATTGTATTAAATGGATATTTTCCAGTGTAATATATTAATTCCTTTGAGTGTGTGTGTTATAAGGCATAAGATACAAACCTTAATTTATCAGAATGTATTTCAGATTTATATTGAGTTTCAGTGAAATATAAAAATTTTATTCTTATGTAGCTCCAGTCCCTTCCTATTTTTGTGCTATTACTATTATATATATATATATTATGTCTATATATGCAACAATCTAACAATATATTTTAATTATTACTTTATGTAATTTTATGTCTTTTAAACAAGCTGAGCAAAGAATGACGAACAGGCATATATTTGTAGAGTTATATTAACCTTTGATTTAACCTTTCTGGTTCTCTTCATTTCTTCCCATACATTCATTGCTATCTCATGTAATCACCTTACCCCAATAGCTTTGTTCCCACCTGTTTCCTTTGTGTTTACATCTCCAGTTGTTGTAGACCCAATGATGCAATTGTTTCCATACTGTTTTTATACAATAGCTTTTTAAACCAGTTAAGAGAAGAAAGGAGAAGAAATATGCAAATATATACAATTTAACTTCACAGCCGTCCTGACCTCCAGAGTTGGCTCTCATCCCACGAGAGATCTTTGGCTACCTTTGTCTGGTTGTCTCTACTAAGCTTATGGAATCTCTGCTCGTATCATGTTTCTATCACAGAGCTACCAGCCTCATAATCCCCGTTGTTTTTGACAATGCCCCTAGGCATGGTGTTTTCCATGCTCTGTTCCAAATAAAGTCAATCTCCACAGGAAGAATTATGAACCCCTTAGTGTTTATGGTCAGCCTTTCCCTCTTGGCAGGATCCTTGTGCTAGGGTGAGAACCCACTTATTCCAAAGTGACCCCTCAACTCTACTAGTGGGCACACAGATGGGCCCCTGGATCTTACCCTCTCAGTTTGCCCCTCATGACATGGAGCCTCTTCTCTAAGAGCAAGAAGGTACAGAGGTGATGAGATTTTGCTCCACAGAGAACAAATAGGTTTGGCTTAGTGTGATCAGGGAGGCTTAGTCATTTAATTGAGTGGAAGGGTAGCAGGTGTATCCATCAGTGCACCTCCCTTCAAGGGTACTCTAAATCAGTGAGCTTTCCAAGAATTACAGATAACAAGCAGACAGAGCCACTTCTTCCCATGTGCTGGGTTTCCATATGGCTCAGGGAAGTAGCCACCCTCAACCAGCAGCAAGGCAAGTGGTCTTTGAGCCACATGAGCTGCAACAGAAATCCTGATTTCCTCTCAAGTCACTAAGTCCTTGATCTCTCTCACCTTGCTGTAAAAAGTATGGTCTTGTATACCATACTGTACAAAGCCCTACTCTTGATCCATCTTCTTAAGAAGACTAAGTCTCAGGTGTGCTTGTCTTTAGGCCATATTCTTATAGACAGATTTACATCAGCAAGGAGCTGAAGAGAAGGTCATGGCCCTAGACTCTCCTGACCATCTTCCCAGAACTTCCTAGGCAGCTCTTTAAAAATGCAAAGTTCCAGGCTGCACTACTGGGTATTTAGTGTCACCTGGTTATTTCAGAAAGAAAGATAGGATAATTTCATTTGCAACTTTGATTCCTAGAGTGATATTGCTAGAGTGTTAGAACAAGTTGATGGCATGAGGATATATGCCAAATGCATTTCTTGGAATTCCTTTCCCCAAC